GTTATAGAGGAGGAGGAGGAGAAGGTGAGGGAGAAGGAGTAGGGAAAAGGGAAAAAACGCGGGGAATGAATGCCGGTAAAATATAGGGAGGGAAACTGTCGCGGTCATCCCCCCTACGTATTAAGGGTGAAAACTTTTTTCTTCGCAACGAAGACGACTGCGACGACGACACTGACGTACAATACCGCACACCACTAACTTAAGGAACTGGACCTTTTATCGTTTACTACTAACCCTACCCCCACTCTACTACTAACCCTACCCCCACTCTACTACAGTAGTGCTATTAAAGAGCTCTTCCAAATCAACTAACGAAGCTGACCAACCAAGCTAACCAACCAATGAACTCAAAACTTTGGATATCTTTTTGCATAGTTACTTTTTTTTTATAGTTCCTTTTTTTTCTTCTTCTTCAACCTTTCCTTTTTTGCTTCTTCTTCCACCTTTGATTTTTTTGCTTCTTCTTCCACCTTTCCTTTCTTTTCTTCTTCTTCTTCTTTCTGCCCCTTTTCTTTTTCTTTCTTCTTTTACTTTTTCCTTTTTTTTTTCTTCGTCTTTTTGTCGCGTTGTTTTAACCTCTTCTCTTATTTCTTCTTAACCAAATTCATTAGAACTTTCGCGATTGTTATCACCAAATAACGATCATCGTTTTATCTGTTCGACATTTGTGATCGAATTAACGACCAATCGACAAATCACATGCAGCGTTGATAATACTTGGTTTATCTGGTGTTATGCGTGTAGGTATATATATATAAACCTATGTATTTTGTATCGTTCGTGAAATTGATTACCTTTCATTCGGCACCGTAGATCGAATTATATTGGGTCAGAATAAAGTCACCTGTATTCTACTTTCCGGCACAGTATTAACATAAACAAAGAATATCAGATTTATCGTTAATTAAGTTTCTTTTTTTGTTTTTCTTCTTCTCTCTCTCTCTCTCTCTCTCTCTCTCTCTGTTTTTTTTTGCGAAAGAGAGACAGAAAAAAAAGGAGGAAAAAAAAAACCAGAAAAACAATACGAAAATTTGAATAGTTCTCATAAATTTCGTGATAAACGAAGAAAAATCTGAAATTTAATGCATAAATTCAACTTTGTTTTTAACACAAAACCAAGATTCCTATCATCAACAGTAGAATGATGATGATGTGCGAGGAATATAAATTTTTAAACACTCAGCTACGATCAACTTCAATCTGTTATTCTCAAAGAAACATTAACAAATCACGATATACTTTCTGATCGTTCAAACGAAGCTGAAAAATCAAACTTTGATACTTCAAATATTATAAAAGACACTCCGCATATATATATATATATAAAAATCAAATCACACTAATATCCTCATTAAAAATCATTAATTAATCCAAAATTTCGTACCAACGTTCGACAACGATCAACAGCAACAACAACAACAACATCACTGTTAAACCTCTGAGTGAAGTGTCACCTTTGAAAGAAATATAATCACGATTTCACTTATATGCCTTCACGATCCAATTATATCCCTTCTCATCTAAATCAGTTTTCAACCAGTGTTAACTCAATAAAACACAATTCACAAATGACTTAAATTTTTCTTTCCGTCTGACTTTTTAGTAGAATAGTGTCAGCATGCCGATGCGTTGTAGGCGTTCTTGATTTGTTCTGACCTATAGCGTGGCAGCTTGCTGTAGGGGAAGAAGAAGAAGAAGGAAAAGAGAGAGAGAGGAAAAGAAAAAAAGAGAGGGAAATCTACTATCCGTATAAAAGAGAAACTTAGATGGACAGAGAGAGAGAAAGAGCAAGAGAGAGAGAGAGAGAGAGAGAGAGACAGAAGAGAGAGAGAGAAGAGAGAGAGAGAGACAGACAGAGAGTATCCCTAGCCAAACGTGCGCCAGTTGCCACAGCTTCCAACCTTTTTAACCCGTACTCGCCACCTGCATCCTCCCTTCGCCATACATTTCTACGCCCACAGCCGTTGCCATTACATCTCCTCCCCCTCCCCCATTTTTATCCCTCTTTTCCCCTCTCTCGCAATACTCTAGTATACTCTTTCTCTCTTTCTCTCTCTCTCTCTCTTTTGCTCTCCTCATACATGCGTGTATACTCACACGTTAGCAATACACCAATCTCTTTCTATCTCTCTCACTCAAGTACATGCATACACATATATACGTACACATACGTTAACAACGCACCAACTTCTCTTTCTCTCTTTTACACATATATACATACATACATATATATGTATATACGTATAGATGTACGGTAGCAATATACCAAGTTCTATATATATATATATTTTATATATATATATATTATATATATATATATATGCTGTCTCTCTTACTCTTTCTCTTTCTCTTTCTCTCTCATACGACGAACCAACCCTTCATACTTCCCGCCTCTCTACACCCAGCCATCGTTTGAATCCACGCACCCACACTGCCTCTCCTACTCCATCCCCAATGCTACCGCAAGCCCGGGAAAACCCTGGAAAATCCAGGAGCGTGTACCTAACTTCACTACAGGCGAATGTATGCGAATGAACGTGAGCGAACATTCTCTCTCTCTCTCTCTCTCTCTCTCTCTTATTCTCTACCATCTACGCACGTATGTGTGTCATCTATGCATACAAAGTACGGGCAAGCAGGCACGTATGTAAAGCATCATGTATAATGTGAGCAAACTAGCCTTTATATATATATATATATTATATATATATATGCGTGTGTGTGTGTATGTGAATATATAATATATACAGTATATAATATATAATATATAATATATACTATATATATATATATAAAATATATAATATATATAAATATATATATGTGTGTGTTTGTTTACGTGTATGTATGCGTGTAGCATATGGGCGTGTGATATGGGCATTGCCCTGGCCGTTAGTACGCAAAATTGTTTATTAAAGGCCCACCAAAAGCTTCGTTTATACTCTCTATCTCTCTTTATCTTTTTATCTTTATTTCTATCTATCTATCTCTATCTTTCTCTGTCCCTGTCCCTGTCCCTCTCTCTCTCTCATCTGTTTTTCTCTTTTCAATGTATATACGTAGTGAAGCGTTTTACAGATAAAGCGCTGGGAGTTTTCGATTTGGTCAAAATATTTTTAATCTCTTGGCCCTCCCCATCCATGAAATCCGCTAGGGCTCATTAAAAGTGATTTCCGGATTGGTTAAGATAATGACGATGCAGATGCAGGGTTTGTTCTATCCTTGTGCTTTTTTTTTTTTATAAAAATTCTACACGTGTGTCTTCTTTCCATTTTTCTTTCTCCCTTCTCTCTCTATCTCTCTCTCTCATTTTTTTTTTCGACGAATGAAAAAGTTTCACTGACGATTATCTATAATCGATTATAATCGTTCTTCTTTGTTTTTGTTTTTGTATTTTTGTTCTCTCTTTCTTTCTTTCTTTCTTTCTTTATTTCTTTTTTATTGTGTAAATCTGTATGATTGCAATATTTTGTTAACACACGTGGCGTCTCACAACACACTTTTTAATTTGACGATCGTACGTAGAAATACGGAAATCGGACTACAACCAACGGATATAAACCGTCATTTCCGGTAACGTGTTAACCTCAAAAAAATTGAGTTTCTTAATTTGTTGTTAAAAAACAAGAAAAATTATGTTAACAACAATGATAAGATATTATCGATGTTAAGATAGATAGTTTTACGACTATTTATTAGATGAGATAATTTTGAATACGATAAGATAAATGATTTAAAATAATATGAAACTTGACTTACAGAAATGATTACCGGGTCCGGCGTAATGGTGCCCCTTATATGCAGCAAATAATCCAGGGTTGATCCCAATCTGTAATACAGGATTTCAATTGTCTTTCGTTAATTCGCCATTGAAAAATTAGATATTTTTTTTTTTTCTAATTAAATTGACAATTTTATTTTTGTTTTTATTTATTTATTTATTTTTATTTTTTTTTTACTAACGTCCACGTGTTACGACTTCGACGCACACACGCGTGTGTACCGTTTGTAATTGTTTTAAACGTCGATTTTAATTTCATCCCCCTAAGAACATTGTTCGCGGAATTTTAGCACAAAATTTAGGCCAAAACAAGGTTTTTGCTTTCACTTTTACCGCAAAACCGAAAAACCATAATAATTACAATAATAAAAAATACAGAATAAAAAAGAACGGGATTGTTTCAAACGAAT